ATTATTTCGTTAATTTCTCTTTTCATAAACAAAGTGAAGTGTCTTTTGATCGCATCACTTTACTGACAAGCGCGGGGATGGTCCAAACCGCAAATCCATTTTAAATGGCTGTAGATCGAAAACGATTGCACTAGAAACTCTGGAAAGTGTGGAAATCATGGAAACATTGATTCGTTCGTGAAACCCACGTAAAAGCGATTGAACGATAGAGTGGATGTCCGTCAGATTGTTCTGGTCTGTATTTGATAGCTTTCGATAGAGGAATGGCACAGTTACGGATGTAGTTGCGATTTTCATTTTGGCATGATAGTGGAAAAGTAACGCGAAACACCACGGACAGCATTTAAATGAATCAGACATCGCTTGAAATTCAATGGAACACTTCTTTTGCAATATTGGATTGAAATTCAATTCTGATAGAGCGCTTCTGATATGATAATTGTTTCCTCATACAAGAGGGGAGAATGCTTAGAATTCAAAAAATGTCTTCAGAAGTTATTTTGAACGTTGTTTCATTAGGCTTTTAGGCACTATGATTTTAATATTTCATTAAATTTGAGAACATAAACTTTTTACCAAAGGAAATTTTCAAATTTCAAAATATGCTCAGATTCATCACTTCATGGTGTTATAGAATGATGAAATTCAACTTCCCCAGAAAAATTTTCCACCTTCTCCAAATTGATATTATCGATATTTTTGTTGAATTTCCTTATTTCGATACCAAAAATATTTATTAATGAAAACCAATTACCTGAAGGAGTTGCTTCATTAATTTGTGGAGTTGAAGTGATATGGAAGTCTCCTTAATAATATTCCTCTGATATACTGGGTGATTTTTTAAGAGGTATAGGATTTGATTTTCAAAACTACTCAAAAAATTTGAAAAAATTGATGAAAATGATTTCATGCAAATGTTGTCCGCGGCTCAGATTTAGATGGCCCACTCTCTCTAACATTTCGACCGGTATTTCACGTATACATGCTTCAATATTGGCTTTCAAAGCGTCAGTCGTTGCTGGTTTATCCCTGTAGACATGAGCCTTAACATGACCCCACAAGAAATAATCCAAAGGCGTTAAATCACACGATCTAGGCGGTCAATTGACGGGCCTCAAACGTGAGATAAACTGTTCACCGAAGGCGGCTCTTAATTGGGTCATTGTTTAGCGTGCCATGTGGCATGTGGTACCGTCTTGTTGAAACCACATGTCAGGCATGTCCAATTCTTTCATTTTGGGCAACAAAAAGTCGTCAATCGTCACACGGTAGCGCTCGCCATTCGGCCATACGGCCCGATGATGCCACCAACCCATAATCCACACCAAACAATGACTTTTTCGGGATGCATCGTTACTCTTGCAATGCTTGTGGCTGATCTTCACTCCAGATGCGGCAATTTTGCTTGTTAACATTTTCATTCAACCAGAAATGACCCTCGTCGCTGAACACAATTTTTTGATAAAAATGTGGATCTTCCTCCAACTTTACCAGCGCCCATTCACCAAATGTTAGACGTTATGGAAGTCGTGTGGCTTCAATTCTTGCATCAGCTGTATCTGTATAAGGTTTTACACACAAATCCTTTCGCAAAATTTTCCACGTAGTGGAGTAACAGATGCCCAATAGCTGCGAACGGCGGCGAATCGACATTTCACGGTCATCACGAACATTGGCGGATACAGCCGCCAGTCCTCACTCTACCTATGCGTGTTCATGAATTTCGATAATAAAATTCAATAATTCGCAAACGTTGTTCATTCGTTAGTCGATTCATGGTTAAATTATAGACCAAACTGAACAAGTATGACAATGACACAAGACACGATTCACGCGTGATCTGTCAAAAACAGTGTTGCCAGCAAAAAAATCACTCATTACAATCCGTTGTTGAAATTCCAAAAAAGTCCATTTCCGGTAAATTGTAGTTCTCGATGATTATTTACCTCATCTTTACCTGGAGCAGGAAAGTTCTTGGACCCGCAAAGGCTTTTCAAATGTCATCCAGAATCATCGAGCTGTGCAGTTCATCGAGTTCAGGCTGTCGAAGCTCTGTTTCTTGAAAACAAAACACAAGCACTACAGAAAAACCCTTAAGGTGCCTGTACGGAAGTGGCGATTCACTTTGGATTTGAATCGCTGGAGATTAAATTCATTCGATAAAACATTTTCAGAAAGTTGATTCTACATATACACAGTTCTTCAACTGAAAGAATTCTCAAACAGTGAAATTCGAGGTGTGCTGAATTGAACCTCAAAACGATGGGTAGCCACAGTACGTCGCATTTTTACAAAATGTACTACTCTTGCTACTCAAATGTGCCAAGTCACTTGAACACGTCCTGTTGAAATATGTATAGAAGAGAGACAAATCTTCGAACTCTTTTCGATGTTCCAGACTATCAAGGATGCAAGGGTTCTTCTGCCAATCAGGCAGATGACACATTTCTGGATGGAATCTAGTGGCTTAAGGGCATGCTTTGGGGAGGACCTCCTTACATGTGAACAGTACTTCAAAGAAGGTCTGATCTGAGCTTTATAAAGCATAAGCGTTTGCTGAGGTGTGTACAGCTTCAGAACAGTGCTCCAAGCTCTTAAGGAACAGCCTTTGCAATTTCAGCGACATTATTGTGCCAAGACATATTGATGTCCATTTTAACCTCCAACAAACTAATCGAAGCAGAATTGTCTGTCATGACAGTAATATATCCGATTCCGAGACATTCATCTTTCTAGAGAACACCGATGTCTGGGTTTTCGTGGTATTGAATTGAGCCTGGTTGCATTTAGCCCAATATGAAATCACCTCTAGATTCTCATCAGCAAAGCTATATATTGTGTCCTTGGTTTTTCCAATCAGTCGTTGATATATCATAAAAAGAGGGTTGGAGACAAAACGGCTCCCTAGAAAACACCAGCGTTGATGGTAACAGTATTCGAGAGATATTCATCAATGGCCACTTGCAAACATTCTTACAGGAAACTGGAGAGCCGTGCACAAAAATTATTTGACAAGCCATAGCATCGAAGTTTGGCCAGAAAACCTTCATGCCACACACGATCAAAGGCCTTACAAATATCAAGCACAACAGCTTTCGACTCTCTATGTTTCTTCAATGCGTTATTCCAAATATGTTCGCCTGTTGATCTTTCTTCCCGAAAACCATATTTATGGAAGCTGATAGCTTCAAACTGCGCTTGGGCTAGAGCGTCTGGGTTGAGTGGATACGGGTATTCATAAATATCAGTGATCAACGGATCAACCAAGTTAAGCAAGGAAGTTTTTAGCAGCCACTAGCTTCCGTATCCTATCAAGGCAATGCTGTTTGGAGATTGACAACACGCTTTGTCTCAAAGAGTGATAGATACGTCGTAATTTAGCGGCTATTCGCCACACAGTGAGCATGAAAGGCATGTTAGTCTCCATCGTGTGCACCGGTCGTTCAATCTTACGAACTGCGAGGCTCGGATTCCGTCCTTACGATTTGAAAAGCGACTGAACGGTGGCGTACACGACGGTATTAGTTTGCGAGATGTCACCTTTTCTGTAAGAAAACCACGAACCTCTGCATTCAAACAAGTCAGTTCTTTTAGGTCTGCAAAATCTTTGAAAGTCATTTTTTGTGAGGAAATGATTGTTTCTTGTTATTTTCTGGGTTTCTGACCTACCGAAATTTGAAAAATAAATGAATTCAAATGAACTAGTTGCCCTCAGTATTCTTACTGCTCACTATAGACTTCAATAGTCTTTGTAGTAAATAGCTTCTCGCATCAATATCTATAAATAAAATGAATTATCGGACAAGTGAAATTATTTTCTCAGCTTTCTTGAAATGGCTGATAATTCAAAAAATATTCACTTACTGCTGTCAAAAACCCGAAAAACTATTCGTGAAAATTTCGCCTTTTCAAAATGTATGTATTTCTTTTGACAAACGTCAAAGAGACGTGCATGCATGAAGGCCTTGAATACTTTGAGGGTCCCTGAGAATATTTTAAGAGTCAATGAGTCGGTTTTCTTTCGCTCACTTATAAATTTTCATAAATGCATATTGAAATCACGAACATTCTGTATGCAACTATCGATAGCTTCAAATCATGTAATGTACAAAATATGTATTATATGGGGTGACAACGAAATCATTGTACACGGCGTCATTCAGTTGTTTATGAGGTAAAAAATTTTGAATTCGAAATAAAGGTACCTGTTATAGTTTATCAAAGGTTATATTTCTCATTGAAAATACTTGATACATATTGAACATGTGATCATTTTCATTCAAAGTGACGGTGGAGAAGCCATTCTCTTCAGATTCAACATGGCGTCACTGTGACGTCATCTATATAGAGAGATACAATTGATGAAATTGGTTCAATTCTCAAATGAGAATTCAAAAATTTATATTTTTCACTAATCCACATACTTTTTCTCATTTTTTTATTCCATCTTCCACTTAATTTATCTCTGTACCTCTTTCTCCACAAAAAAAATGTGAAGATAATATGCTGTCCATTTTTGTGTTCTAGTGAAAAAATGAAAGTGCCAGAGCTGCTGTATATTGTTGTGAGTTAGGTGAAAGTTTCAATTTTTCAATTCATATTCGTTTCTTCTTACATCCAGTTATTTGACAATATTTCTATAGATGATGTCACAGTGTCGCCATATTGAATTTGAAGAAAATGACTACTACGCCGTCATTTTGCATGGAAATGCATGAAAATGCAAAATGACGGCTGTGTTATATCGTTGAAAAAAGAATTTTATATCCGATCAAATGTTAGAAAAAATATACAACGTTCAATTCGAAATTCTTGGCGTGGGTTCATTCCTGGTTGATTCTAAATATATTTTCATGTTTTCGTATTTCATTTTTTTTACCTGATGAACAACTGAATGCCACCGTCTACAATGACTTCGTTGTCGCCGGCTAGATGTAGTTTACCATCAGTCTATCGAACGAAAACTTACTTCTGGTAAATTCATGATTTGTTTTTTACAGATTTCCTAATAGGGCTCAGTCGCCAAGGTTTGTGAATCATTGCAATATCTGGAATATGTGAAGTTGCTTTTTCGGTGTTCATCTGTTGTGTATCTTCACAGGTCGACGTTTTGTCATCTCAGGTGGCATTATCGATACTAGTTATCGCTTGTTCTTCGTGAGACGTAAGTCCGATACATCTGAGTTAAGGTCGATCTTTGAGAAATGCACAACGGAATAACACACACATATTAATTTATTCATTTATTGATTCAGATCATCACAGGTTCCAACAACATCGAGGCAGATATTTCAGAAAAGGTAAGACTAATCATTTTCCTCTAGAGTGAGTAAAAATATTACCCGCAATGAAGTCTCTACAAAACATTTGTCTTGTGAAAATATGGCAAACATGGGCTTGTGAAATCAAGTCAATCAAAAATATAGTACTTCAGATCCTCTTTTACGCGCTTCACGCTAAAAAAGTTAACATGGTCAGATATTTCATATATATTTGGGTCAAACATTACTTTCAATAAATAGAATAGGTACTCAAATAAAGTTAATCAGATGAGTTTCAATGATAAATTCTCAGTATCAGTGATTTTATAATTTCATCTTTATATTTGACTCCCGAGATCAATGTAATGATACCTAATATTTACTCAGTTTCTATCTGTAATTATTACGTGAAATAAAAAACAACAAGTTGTTTGGAATGGTATCTTTGATACTCTTCATAGATCTTATTCCACATTTTTCGATTTCCGAACATTTGAAAGCACCCAAAAACCTGTTGTCATGTTCCGGTCTCAACAACTTCAAATATTCTCCACTTATCCTGTAGCCATTCTTCAAAGGAAGTTGAATGATACTAGACTTTTCTGGTCTATGAAACTGAATATGTGAAACATGTTCCTCATGGCGAGTTATAGTAGTCCTTTTAGTTCAAGCAAGATACTTTTGATCGCTATTCCCGCAGCTCCTTTCGTGAATCTCAGACTTTTTTTCTATCATTTTGACTCTCGGGTTGCCTAGTATTTGTTTGGTAGTTTTTGAGAAATTCGAAAAAATCCACCGACGTTCTTTGGTTCCTATGAAAAAATTATGAATTTTGAGCCTTCGTCTTCCTGGAAAGTTGAGGATTTACAAAAACATTCAGTTTTAGATATATCTTTCACAGGTTACACTATTGCCCACAACCAAAAATGGCGAAATTATAACAAATAATGAATAGCAAATAACTTATTTTTTGCAAAAGTTACTTTTAGAGAAAACGAACGAAAAAAATCAATTTCAACACCCTGTATCTCCGAAACGAAGCATTTCCGGACACAAGTTTATATCGACTTTTTTCTCAAAATTGTCCCAGAATACGTCACTTGAATGTTTAAACGTACTTATGTTTCACCCTGTATAGACCACCCCTTATAAAGGTGGTCTCATTCAATTACCACTCATAGCGTAACCCAAAAAAAAAACAATCGAATTTTCTCTCATTTTTTCCGGTTCGCGAAAATTGTACTCATTATTCTCGTTGATTATTCTGTTCAAATTTATAACCGATGTAATTACATGATTCATTAGAAACGCCGTGGCATATGGAATTGAATATCCCAAAGTCCATTACGTGAACCTATAACGGTGTTATGTTGCATATTAATTTCTGATTAAGGTTTCATGCCAATGACAGGATCATTTAAATTTACTATTCGAAGAAAATTATTAGTAGATAATACGATTGGGAATCCCTAGCGTAGAATAAATTTGACATTTCTCATTCTGAACAGATGAAAAGATTAACGGCGGAAAATGACATTTCAACGAGAATTTCAGAAATACATTTGAAATTTTAGATAAATGATGCAACTTGCCATAATTGATGAAAATCCATAACGTATTCAAGTAACACTTTTTGTGAGATTTCCACTATAGATACTTAACCGTTTACGCTTCACGAAACACAGTATAGATAGGCCCAAATAGAAAAAGAGCTTGATGCAATACTTTTCAGGTGCGAACATTTCAATGAATTTGTATTTGGTGAAACATTCGTAATAGAAAGTGATCATAAGCCGGCCGATTCGACGTGGGTGCTTTTTTCACTCACTAAAGTCGACCGCCGTGTTGGTCGGTGGTTCAAGTCCCATGCTGAATGATCGATTTTCACTTGCTATCGTAAAATCCGTATTAGGAATCACACGTTATAAGGTAAGACCTTGTTAGTCCTTAGCTCGCACAAGTTTCGAACTCTGAGGGTTGCGACAGCTGGTTAACGGAAAAACAGATTTTAAACTGATTATATTTTTTCAAAAAGCCTTTCACATTGTGTCTTTCAAGATTGCAGAAGATGATGATGCAACTACGAAAATTTGGTTTCAAACCTAGAATAGATATTTTCATTGCAGATGCCTTATGCAGATGGAAACAAACAAGCATAATTCTAATCTGTTTAAAAAAAATATGTTTTCTGTTTTTCCGTTAACCAGCTGTCGCACCCCTACGAACGACAACCCTCAGAAGTAGAAACTTGTGCGAGCTAAGGATTAACGAGGTCTTACCTCTCAACGTGTGATTCCTAACACGATAATTAATTATTAATTCCTAATGGAGGTAATGATTTGAAAATCTGTATGGTAGATATATATGTAGACAAAGAATTGATGTATGAATAATTTTTGTGGTGGGTTCGAATACTCTATTTGTAACAAATATTTTTTTATAATTTTTTGTTTAGTGAAAGAAGTGAATGTTGGTTTGGGTTAGTTTGGTTTTGTTTCAGTTAATTCAGAAAATCCATCTATTGAAAAATATACGATCGGAAATCTTAATAGTGGGTCTAGACCGGTTTGCTGTTAGGAGAAAACTCCAGTAATATGAGGTAACACTCTTGCGAAATACTTCCATATTTTTAATACATTGTAGCTTACGACGAAAAAAATATTGAAAACTCATTTTTATAAATTATAGTTAATTGATACATTTTGTCAATAACTAATAATCAGTTTCTATTGTTACTGTATTCAATTTTAATTCATCCTTAATTTCAGACACTATGACTATATCATAGTGTCTGAAATTATTTAGTGTATTGGTGTATCGATTTATACTTTCAATTTGATAATAATTCCATTTTGTGGATACTGTAGTGGATTTTTCAGTTTGTATCCCGATTATATAAATAAAAATAAATAATAACTTAATGGCGGCCATTTTTAACATTTACTGGGGGGTATATAATAGTTTTCGAATCAGTTCAAGGTGCTTCAAATAGACGAAGAAATGACTTGGTGTTCCATAAAAAAACTTTCTGGAAACTTTTTGAGTCGTCCTGTATATTGGAAATACTAAAAAACACTTTAAATTATCCCACCTAACCTAGTGCTTCAATTTTTTCTTGCGAAAATCAGGAAAAGGTTATGATAAAGGTTAAAACCCATAGTTTAGCCTTTATAATCGATGAAAGAAACTTTTTAGCCAAAACATCAAAGACAGATAATATTTATCCAAACTATATGTGAGAAATCTTTTATTCATACTAGCACTTTCCTAGAAACCTAGCTTTAAAACTAGTCCGACTCTGCCGCAATACGTCCACTCCCAGAACAGTTTCATAGGGGTAACATAGTAGCTAAAATACGTTGAAATGATCTCTACTGATACCAATTCATTTCATAGAACGACGCCATTTGTAATGATAGCGATCCGGGATACTGAAATTAGATGAGTTGAAAATATGAAATACCGCACATATAGTGATATTTACAGCTGAAAAGTACATAAATATTATAACATTATATTATTTAGATTGAAGTGAGTTAAGTTTGCGACTAGAAAATTGATATGTCGACAGAGTGAATTTTTGTATAATTAATAATTTTACCGAAAACATTCATAAATGAGTGGCGCGCTTAAATTTTGCTAATAATAGGCTATATATTTGTCAATAAAATTTCATTTGCAGTAAAAATATCAATCTTCTAAACCTAAACAATGTCTTCAACAGTTTTATGAGTGCAGAAGTGAAATTTTAAAATGGCTTTAACCTTTCTATTTGTTAGTTTTCAGTTGGTGACATATCTATTATATTTTCCTAGTGTCCAATACAAAATTACTTCTTGCGTCTTCAAGAAAACATTTTTAACACTTTTTTATTTTATTGTTATTGTTTTCGGCTGTATTATATTTTATAAGGCCTACTTGGAACTACTAAAAAACTCTTATAAAAGTGTCTTCTAATTATTTTGTAAGTATCGCTTAAATATGTTGCAAAAGTGCAGTAAGGGAAGTCTTTACAAAACTACTTTTTAAGAGCGTTAGACAAATTTTATAGTAACTGCCAAAATGTTTATAAAACTGTTTTGTAGGCCTTACAAAATATTGATAATAACTATAATGTTTTATAAAACGGTGCCAATTTCCTATTTATAGCAGTTTTATAAACATATTGGAAACATTTCTGGGAGAAATGCAGTTTTATAATTTGTTTCTCCGAAACGTTTCCGCAACTATTATAAAATACGAAATTGCTAGTTGGGTGGTCAATCTTTGAAAAAAAAAAACTGAAAATGGTTTGAAAATAATTTGGGGATGGTTTAAAATCGGCTTTCAACAATGAACATCGACAAAATAGACTTCATAACTTTTGCCTCATACGTAAATAACTCACCACAATATAACACTCTTCAAATAGATGGCAATCAAACAATATCCTATGGTCCGACCTATCAAATATTTGGGAGTGTTCATTGACTGTAATTTGAAATAGGACATCCATATCACCTTCGTCTTGAAAAAACTACAAAGTACATTATCAAAATTCAAATATTTAGTGAATATTCTAAAAATTGATCAGCTACGAATATTATATTATGCTTGATTGATGACTTGTTTACTTTATGGTAATTCATGATCACTTGAATGAAATGAATAAAAACACTTTTGTCTAAATACGACTGGTAAATTTTATTCATACGACCGGTTTCGGGTTTGACCCCATTATCAAGTATATTATGCTCTAGTTGAACTTCACTCGAATTATGGAAAAATAGCTTGGGGAACGGCAACAAAGAATTATACCAAACATCTAGAAAAAATACAAAATTGGATCATCGACTAAAATTATTCGATCTTCGACAATTATATTTTCTATCAGCTGTAATGCGACAGCATGTCAACAGAAATACACTGATAGCCACAAATCATAACATCATAACTACAGTATGCGCCACAAAAGCTATTCCTCTGTTATACCGAGACCAGAAAAAAGCACCCTACAAAGAAGTTATGCCTACTTGGAACCCAAACTATATAGCTAGATC